AACATCTATGATGTATTTGCGAAATATTGTTTTTACCCATTTCTAAGTCGTACTCCTTGACTCGATTTATTTTCTGTTGAATTTTATCCTTTGTATGGGGAAAAACTAACTAATGTCGATGTTATTTCATTTGTGCTTTCAAGTATCCAGTTTCTGCTTTCCTCAAAGATCTGGTCATTTGGAATATACATTATAGGTTCCAACATGCCAAAGGAGAGAAGAGATCGTTCCGTGTCTTTTGATGGGTATCAGAGATGGCCGTTACCATGCAGCTCCAGCTGTAGTCATCAATCTGCAAAGCTCTCTTCAGAAACTGAGGAAATTCTGAAGGAATGGGAAGAAGCCAGGTGCCCTGTCTGCATGGAGCATCCACACAATGCAATTCTCCTCATATGTTCTTCCCACGAGAAGGGTTGCCGTCCATTCATGTGCGATACAAGTTATCGCCACTCTTACTGTTTTGATCAATTTCGCAAATCATTTGTGCATGCCTCAACACCACAAAATCCTCAACAAGATGGAGTTCAACTTGTTATGACAAACTTATCACCAGCGGCAACTTCAGAATCAACTGTAACAGATTTGCCGGAAGAAAGAACCGAGCAAGGGCCCTCCGCTCCATCAATTTCACAACTTTCAAAACTAGTGTGTCCTCTATGTTGTGCTGAGATTAAAGATTGGATCGTTGTTGAGCGAGCTCGCCGTATCATGAATGCCAAACCTAGAAGCTGTGCCTCTGACACATGTAATTTTTCTGGTGCTTATAAAGACTTGAGGAAGCATGCAAGGCTTGAGCACCCTACTGTGCGGCCATCGGAGGCTGATCCCGAGCGACAACAAAATTGGAGGAGGTTGGAACGGCAGAGAGACCTCGGAGACTTGGTTGGCTCACTGCAATCTTCATTTGCAGAGGAGGGGACTGATGATAACAGCATTTTACCCATTGATGATGGAAGTTGGCTCACCGTCTTTTTCCTCGTTTTAGTGTTTCGACCAGGGTCTAGTTGGTCCGGCACATCAGGGATGAGAACTCAATCGAGTATTAGGAGATCTACAAGACAATTGGGGAGAAAGCTATGAGGGGGAAACTGGATCCACTCGAGACGAGGACGAGTCTTCTTCAGACAGTGGTTCGATTTACTGGGGGCGCCGTGTAACGAGACGGACAACTCGTGACAATCAACCATGAATATGTATCTTTAAGGAGATCTTTTTTTGTCCGAACATCAAAGTTTCAGTTTCCTGTGTTTCCCGTAATCTACATCTTGTAGTTGTCTGGTAAGTTTTTCATTCAACAGCAGTTGAATAATGTTTTTTTTTTCTCATCTAAATAATATCTATTTATAATACCATACGATAATAATATAGTATGCAAATTTTTAACTAGAAACAAAACCATCGTATACTTGGAAGGTACTTGGGATAAGAGAAGAGAAGACAATTCCAGTTTAACCAATAGACTGAACCGACCGATGTTTAAATGATTATTCGACTGAAACGATTTTATAATTAAACATTATTTAAAAAAATAATGAAATGATTCCAAATTTTTCTAAATAAAATTCTAGTTTCGAATTCCTTCTGATTTCTTGATGATAAAACATTTTTTAATCTTAACAGTGGAAAAGTGGAGGAATGTGAAGTGAACTGAATATCTTGATTTCACATTAATCGAATGACGAATATTATAAATTAGAGTGATTTAGAGTTTTATGAGTTTTGGGTTTACGGTTGAGTTTTATGAGTTTTAAAATGATTTAGGTAAAATTTAGGCTAATATAGTGATAAAAGATTAAAGCAAGTTCGTCGATATTTTGAGTGGTTGAAGAAGACGTCAAAGGGTGATAATTGTAACATTAACAAGAAACAAAGATAAAATTATAAAACATTTTTTAAAATAATTATACAATTATAGTTTGGATAAAATTATAAAATTTTCATATTTGGAGGAAGAAGATAAAAAAAAAAGAATGACATAGACAATACATAGATTTTATATTAATGAAAACGTAGTAATCTATATCAGCACACATAATTGTCACGTCTCTCTTCCATTTATGGTTTAACACTCAACTAATCAAATAAGAGTAAACCAAAAGTTTAATGAATAATTTGAAAATTTTTAAGGTTTGATGAGCAAAATATGAGTAAGAAAAAAGCTCAATGATGAAGTTTATAATTAATATTGAACTTTATTTGATTGGTTAATTTGGTTAAAGAATGAAAATTTGGTCGGTTAAGTTGGTTTTTAAAATCGACTGATTACTCTTTAGTCTCTACCCGTACGAAGTATTTAACAAATCGGAAATTTGTTTTTTTCCCCTAAAATCTTATAGTTCATATCTTAAAATTCTATAGATTTATCTTCTAACATATAGTATTTAACAACTTGAAATTCACGACCGCGATTGAAAATTATGATATTGCAGATCTCCAAGCAAAGACTTCCATTCTCTTGCATTAAACGTTTCTGTCCATCACATGCACATGCATTGCTCCCTTCAATCACATTTCAAGCTGCTTTTCATCCAAGCGAAATCCTGGAACCGTTGAACCAAAAAAAAATCACAACTTTTTTTGGTTGACTCTTGAAGCAATGCCAAAATGGCAATTTCAGTTTCCAATTTCCAGCTGAAATCAAGGCTTTGAACAATATATATATAACATCTTTTCTTCTTGAATTCAGTCCACACTTTCTTTGTTTCATTTTAATCTTCTCAAGGGTGAAGAACATGCACAGATCATCATCGTCATCGAGCAACAACCGATTGATTTCCGACGAGTTCTTCATCAACTTGCCGCCGCCTACCATGGCATCGTCTCAACTTCTCAAAGTCGCTACGGCATTGAATGACCACTTGCCGGAGTATGGTGGTCCCATCGCAGGAGCTAACAAAAAGGAAATGGCTTACCATCACCACAGCGCAAAGGGAGAGAGAGTAATTAACCTTATTCCGGTCGTATTATTTTGTATTATCTTGCCAAACATTCTTTAAACATGATCATAGAAAATTATAAACTGAAAAATAACAAATTAAAATTAATATAAAGAAAAACACCCGCAGAGTTAAAATTTGATGTGATCTTATTTTGTATACCACAAGTGATAAAAATAGACTATTATATAAACCTAAACATCACGAGGAATATATATACATAATATCTTATGTGTCTTAAAATTTAATATTTATATAAATATATCAAACCACTTTTTTAACATTTCCATAAAATTTATTGTATAATGTAAATCACAAAAGTTAAATGGGTCTCTTCATAATATTTTTTTCTCATAATTTTAAATGTTAAGATATACTTCCCATTTATAGAGTCAAATATTTGATTATTAAATAATCTTCTACATATAATATTATAATAAAATTGATTACTAAAAGTAAACTGAATTCTAAAACCGAAAATTTGAGGAAAATTGATTACTAAATAAATTGGTAAAACTATAAGATAAGTTAATATCTTTAAAATTAGCATTTATTCAATTTATTTCAAAATTAAATAATTGAAGCCAATAAAAATTCTGATTTATCCAGACTAAAATATTAACCCGAGTTTTGGGGGCGTGACATGGATACCCGTTATGCGTTCGTATATAACTTTTCACATCGCTCGAGTTTAATTTGAATACCTGTTATGCGGTCAGATATGTTTGTATCTATCTTTATTCGAGTTTTTTTAATTAGGTTTTAATCTTTCCTTGTATGGTCCTTATATGATTTTAAGCTGCTAGTTTTGTCTCAATAATTATAGGATATCATTCTAATTATTTGCTTAATTTACAATTATGATTTAGGATATTTTCTATTTTAATAAAATTTGTGATTTCTATCCAAATAAAATAAAATAGAATTTTAATCGATATTTGCCCCATAACTTAAATTTGCTTAATATATTAAACATAAAATTTCAAGTTTAAATTGTTCCACGAAACAAAACCTTAGATCATAATCCATAACGCAAGTACAAAAAAAAAAAATGAAACTTTTGGTTCAGAGTTAGCTTTACACATAAGTTCAGATACTACTTTGGATCTTTTGTTCTACTTATTTTTTTTAAAAAATTATAAAAGAAAATATATAAATTCTAGAAATTTAGATTCTATAAATAAAAATATATAAATTAAAAATAATGAAATAATATATTTTTTATATAAATTTTTATTATAATATTAATAATTTAGTTTTTAAAAAATATATATCACAAGGTTAATTTAGTAAAATATATATTCTAGTAATCTCATATTAATTTAACCAAATATTGTAATCTTACATTCATGTAAAACAAACCAAACAAGGTAATATAACATTCCCAGTACTATATCAAGTAATACTACATTCCAGTAATTTTATTCTCAAAGCTAATTTTATACTCTATGTCAGATGACCCCTTATTTTAGTTTTAAATATTTTTTATTTCTTAATAAATTAACTGCTTTTATTTCAAAAGAAAAATAATGATAATTTTACATAAATATTAATATTTTATCACAAACACATTTATGTAATTCCTCGAACATTAACTCTAAACGTCGCTATTTCATATACTTTTTTCTATGGAGATTATCGTTAAATAACTCTAGTCGTCGTTATTTTAGATACTTTTTCCAATCATTATCTTTGCTTAATGATTCTTCCTCTTTCTTCTTTTTGTTTGATTTACATAAAAAACAATTTAAATATTTTAATGATCATATATTTAATCATATTTTAATTTTATTTATAGAGTTAAAAAATTGCCCTTAGCATATCTAAAAATTATCTGTATTATAACATAAAATTAATTAGATAATATTATGTTAAAACGAAGAAGACATAAGTATGTATAAACGAGTCAAAATCCATATAATAGTTATTAAAAATATGCAACATTTTAAATACCATATGACATTTTTTCCCGAATTCAAGCTGGGAATTGCTAATTAATAATAAATGCTATTTTTACTTGAGTTTAAGTATAAAATTATTTTAACAGTGATACGTTGTAGTTTTGGAACCATTTTTTTTAAAAAAATGGTGAACTTACAGGTTCATTTTGATCTCATAGTGTACTCTGCTACAAGTTGCGCAAATGATGAAAACTTGTTTTCCAGTAAGCTAGCGGGAGAATCATACTCTTCAATAACTCCTGCAAAATTATAAAGAAGGTTAGAATGCAACGAAGTTCAAATTGTTTTTTCCAATGAAATCATAAATTACTGCAATACTAACCCTGACTTAGAAGCATAACCATATCGCTATCGACAACTGAAGTTACTCGATGGGCGATTGTTATTACTGTACACTCTGAGAAGTGCTCCTTTAAGGTCGTCTGAATCAGATTATCGGTAGCCGTATCGACTGACGATGTAGCTTCGTCGAGTACTAAGATCTTGCTTTTCTTGAGCAGCACACGCCCAAGACATACCAGCTGCCTTTGACCCATACTCCAATTATCTCCGTTTTCACCAACTGCAGAAGCAATGCCATAATTACATAAATTTTGCTTTCAAAAATCGAATCGACTAGATTTTAAACAATTTGTATGTTATGTTATTGAATATCGAACCTATAGACTCAAGCTTGCCTTCATTCTTTCTAACTTGATCTCCAAGTTGGCACTTATCCAATGCCTACATGTTACATCGATAGATGTAAAAAAGATTGCCTTTGCATTTAATTAGAAAAGAAATGGTACGGATAAAACCTGAAATGAACCCACCTCCCAAATCTGTTCATCTGTGTACTCTTCGAGAGGGTCCAAATTACTTCGTATGGTCCCTTCGAACATGGTAGGATCCTGAGGAATTATGCTGAGTCGTAACCGCAGATCATGCAGTCCGATTGATGAGATATTGACACCATCAATAATAATCCAGCCTGTTGTAGGTTCAACAATTCGGAAAAGTGTCTGTATGAGAGTTGTTTTGCCACTGCCTGTTCTCCCCACAATGCCAGTTTTCAACCCTCCGGGAAATGTGCATGTCAGCCCTCGTAGGACAAGCGGCATGTGCGGGGCATATCGCACCTATTTCGACCATAAACATAAATTTCAAAAAATAATACATTACAATTAGCTATAAACATCGTACAACGACATTACCTGCAGATCATGAATACAAACTTCTCCGCGAAATGGCCAAGAAAGGTCAGGACAATTAGTTTCAATCACAAGGCAAGGCTCGCTAGGAATGCTACTATATTGAAGAATCCTCTCAACAGATATTATTTTGTTCTCCATTCTGCAAATTTGCCATACTAACATAGATAGCAACATATTTAGATTGAGCCCGTATGTCACAGCTAGCCCAGCAATGCCTAAAAACAAAAGATAAACGTATTCAACCGTTATCTCCGTTACAATTAACTAAATTTAAGACTTTGATATGCAATTACTTACCTGGATTAATAATTTCATCAGGTATAAATATCAAGAAGAACAAAGAGAAGGCAAAAGTAATAGAATACAACATGTCGAGGCGGAAGCACAACCATTGCATTGCACCGTTAGCATGAAACTTTGGGCGAGAATACGCATCCATTAGTATCATGTTCTTCTGCTGGAATCTTGATTCTTGATCGAAGCCCCTGATAGTCGTTGCCCCTGAAATTGTTTCAGAAAAATTCTGTATTACTGGAGCTTTGCATACTCCAATCAACCGTGTAAGCTCTCGAGCAGAAGATATGTAATATTGCTGCAAGATTACAAGTTCGTGAGAATCCATATCTCTAAGTTTTATGCATTCGATATCCATCATTTGTCATACAACATGGTAGAACAAGATTTACCTGATACCAAATGCACGCAGCGATCACAGGAATAAAAATGATAAAGATCTGCCAAGCAACCTGTGACATGACAACAATGATTCCAAGGAGTTGGATAACTGAGACGGCAACACCCGCAACCTGATTTGGGATGTTCAAATCCACAGCACTTTGATCTGTAGAAGCCTGAGTCGAGAAAAGAAAATTTAAGAAACATGAATTAAAATACTTGAAATCCATACCAAAAATACTATATACTTACTCTGTTTAGAATTCTTCCGCTAGGTGTCGAATCAAAGAATGACATAGGGGCACGAAAAATGCATAAATGCATCTTTTTGAATAGAAGAGTAGCTGTTTTATATCCAGCTATTTTAAGAAGGATGGATTTGGCAAAGACAGAAAAAGCACTTGCAATGACCAAAGCTAAATAGACAAGTATTAGTGTAACGTTCCCAACTGGAGGTTCAACAGCAGGAGATGCCCAAGCCATCCAGTAATTGCTACCGATTTGAAAAACTTGAAAGAGAATTTGTGCCAGCAATATAAAAGGTATAAGAGCTCCTCCATATGCTGTTGTGATATACTTCCAGTAGACCGAAAACCCAACTTTTCCTTTCTCCCGCTCTTCTTCTTCAACAAGCTGTCCTTTTGGCCCAACATCATCTACTTCGCTAATCTCATTACCTTCTTTATACATTTCCCGAATAACACCATTTGCTTCACTTACACACTTTTCATAAACAGATCCTACCTCAATAGTATGATCAAGGGCTGACAAAGCTTTCTCATGTGCACCCACCAGTTCCTTAAAATCAGATCCCGAATCGATAATGTCATTATACTTTCCAGCTTCTGTAATCCTCCCGTTTTTCATCACCTGTTAAAAGAAATAGAAGTTGAACTTTGTAACGATATTGTTTCATGAATTTGAGGCATTAAGATAAAAACCACTGAAATGATAAATAACTTACCAGGACTAGATCAGCAGCTGGTATAAATTCAAGTTGATGAGTGACAAAAATCACTGTTTTTGAACTCAAAATGCCAAGTAAAACTTCCTGTCATTCAAAGATAAACCATATATAATTAGGCAATGCACCAAAAAAAAGGGAAAACATCAATTGATTTTACCTTAGTCAGAACAAAATGCAAATATTAGTATTTCAATTGATTATCTCAGATACATCATTATTGCTTACTATATAAACTAAAGAGTAAATAACTTTTAAAATTGCATGTTATTTTACCTTAAATAAATGTGATCCGGTGTGAGCATCCACAGCACTAAAAGGATCATCAAAAAGATATATATCAGCATCTTGGTATAAAGCTCGAGCAATCTGTATTCTTTGTTTCTGTCCACCACTCAAATTGATTCCCCTCTCACCTATAATTGTCTGATCACCGAATGAGAGCATTTCGAGATCCTTGTTAAGGTTACAAGCTTCGAGCACTCTTTCGTACCTCTCCCTTCTCATCTCTTTACCAAACAATATGTTGTCTTCAATCTTGCCACTCTGTATCCAAGGTGATTGAGGAACATAGGCTTTTGTACCACACAACTTAAGAGTTCCAGATATCTTTGATAATTCCCCCAAAATACAGGAAAGTAGACTCGATTTGCCGGAGCCAATTGTACCACAAACAGCAATACTCATACCATAGAAAACCTTCAAATTCAAGTCCTTAAGTGTTGGTGTGGGAGAATACAAGTCCCATGAGAAATTCCCATCAACGATTTCAATTGCTATATCAGAACTACCCCTTGGAAGCTTCTCCATAACATCAGGCTGCAAGTCATCAAGCCGAAGGTAGGACACGATTCTATCAAGAGACACCTTTGTCTGAACTATCATTGAAATCATATCAGGAAGACCGTAAATCGACTCTTGAAGAATCCTGAATGTTGCAAGTGCAGATAATATCTTCCCGGACTCGAGTGGGATGCGTAAATATATACAAGCACTAAAAGTGGCCAATGAAACAAATGAAGGTGAAACCCACAAAACAATGCTACTCATAGCACTAGTATAAACAAATCTTTTTAACCATCCTTCCTCGACTTTCCTTAACCCCAAAATCTTAGATAGAAACTTTATTTCCCACCCCTGAAGTTTGAGAATTCTCATATTCTTTAAAGTTTCATATGTGGCCTTCATCCTTTTATCTTTTGATTCCATCAACTTCTCTTGAAAGTTCTCTTCCATTTTCCCCAAAGGAATGTTCACCGACATAACAAGTATTGTTGTGACAAAAGCTGCAAAGGTTGCTGCCCCAAGGTTCTTATACAAGACCAATAAGGCCAAAGCAACCTGTAAAACTATGGTCCATGTATCGTGCATGTACCAACAAAAGTCACCGACCCTCTCTGCATCGACAGCCATATAATTGATGATCTCCCCGCTGGTCTGGCTCTGCTTCGACTGGCATGAAAGGGTTAGACCCTTATTATAAATCATTGCAATCAGTACTCCTCTCCACCTAATTCCAACATGCTGTGACTTAAAGACCCACCACATCTGAGATATACACTCTACAAGCTTTGCAACAAAGAAAGCAGTAACCAATAGATACCCTTCATTTTTAAACTCCCGTTGTCCACTCAGGTACTGAACAAAAGTGTCGATGAGATACGGGCCGACATATGAAGCCACACTGTACATGAACACGAACAAACCAGTCCAAAGAATATCTTTCCAATCTGAGAAGAACAATACCTTTAGCAGCTTAAGTGTGGTAACTCCAGTCCCCTCGCTGTCGGCTGCCTCTAGCCTGTTTCGGAATTTCGAAAAAGCCCCGCTGACGCTGACACTGCTATCCAGCTGAGGAACATCCTCAAGGTCTAAAATTTTCTTATTGCCAGTAGCAATAAGAGGTCCCATCCAAGAAAATGTAAGAAGGTCGAAAATACCAACATTCGAGTACGGCGTTACAGTAGCATCGCTTTTTTTCTCACTCGACTCGACACCGTTACTAACACTAGAATTTCCATTCAAAAGGGGCTCCTCAAGTAGGGTATCTTCAACCTGATATCCATCTATCCTCTTGTTCTCATAGAAGTCTTCCTTGTCACCCTGCATAATGCACAATTCAGAAAATCGTTACACGGCGCTCTTCAGCTGCTGATTCAATAATATCAAGATATCTAAAACTCCCTCTTAAGGAAACAGGGACATAACCTATAATGTCACCATTTGTCACATCGTAACTCACAACTTCATAACTGATTGGCAATCTATGGAACATAGGAATGGGAAACTGAATCTTACCATCTTTCCTCGAGGAGGCTTGTCATAGTTTCTCTCACCACTGTATCTTCTATCCACGTAGACATGCTTAATGAATCCTCGAAGCCTCTCCACATTGCTGGTAATAAAATTTTAACTCAGAAACATAGAAGCTAATAAAAGTACAAAATAAAAATTGGATATTTGAGTGATAACCTGTTGTTAGGAGCAGAATCACGCCGAGGATCCCATTCTTTAAAATAGATTTCTTTTGCACGCTGTATGTAAGTGAAAGGAATGAAGGGGGAAATGAGAAACTGGAACATCAGAATGAGAGGAAAACTACACACAATTCTTTTTCCTTTTTACCATCAGAACTCAAAAGAAGGAGAGGATTTTATCTCTACCTGGTTTCCGCCTTCTTGAAGAGCAGTCACTTCCTGAGAAGTGAACTTAGCCATTGACACCGATTTAACTCTGTGTGTGAATTCCTGGCTGGAAACAATTAAAGCCAGGGGCCAGTTTTAGTAAACCTATGAATTATAATTAGAAAGGCATTAAAGTTTCAAATATAATCTAATCAGCAGCCAAAATGTAAATAAACCTTAATACTTACTGTATTCCACTACAGATGGTGCAAACAAATGTCCAGAAGTTTGTGCAAACATATTGAGGCCCCTGATCAGGTGCAAGTTAGCAAATAGCAACACTGTGATAGAGAAAGTATATGCACTCCATATTTTAAAAATTATAGGATACCGAACTCAATTTGGCATAAGCAAAATGCTGCAAAAATCATATTCCAATTATGAAATTTCAAAAGCAAGGGTATCCGAACAAACACTCCCCAAAAGGTTGAGTGAAGATTCAAGCAATCATCATAACATTTATCAGACATCCTAATTTTGCAAAATTCATATCAATATTCATACAATACAACCTATCTCAGTAGTCATAACAACAAACCTAAGCAGAACCAAATATGCTTGACGAACAATTCACACAGTAATATTCCATCAATCTAACGCAGGACAAGGCGACATGATCACCAAATACTCCATGTCATTTCTCTAACTACAATCATGGGATGAAAACATAAACAAGAAAACAATAAAAAGAAAAAGAAAATGATACCAGACTGTTGCAATTAATACATCTTCGATTCTCCAGTTTTTTGAGAAGGCCCCGAATTGTCTGCTCATTTTTCTTATCTTCAATCACTCGACTCGCCATGATAAGTGATAACCTTCATATATCAAAATAGCAAAGAACAAAATATAAACTCTTTTTAAAAAAATTATCAAATAGTTTTAAAAAAATAATTCAGTCGACAAGAATTTCTCCAAATGATCATTAATCAACAAAAAAGACACAAAATATTAATTAATTTCAAAATACTAATCAAATTTGCTTCTACACTATTACCACCCATTAATTTCAAAATACTAATAAAATTTGCTTCTACACTATTACCACCCAAAAAAGAATAAGACGAAGATTAAACCTTAACTTTCCTACACTGCTTAAGCAAAAGTAAACAATCAAAGACGCAGAACAACAAAAACTCAATCAGATAACAATCAAAGAAACCGATAATTATATATGAAAGAAAGATGGGCAAATAAAACTATATTGAATTAAATGAGAATGGAGGCCAATCAGAATATAAACAGAAAGCAATAAATACATGAGATGGGTATTTGATGAAGAAAAAAAACAACCCCCACCCCACAAGAAAAAAAACTTACCAGTATGTTTCCAGAAAACGAATAACTTGAGAATGGAGATGATGAATGCTCAATGTTCAGGGATGAATAAAAGATACCCAGATGAGATTTCAGATCAAAGAACGAGTTTAAAGAGAAAAACTAAGAAATTTGGAAGTTGAAGAATGGGAATTGACTAGAGGAAGTGGGGAAACTTGCTAGAGTTTTTGAAGTATTTGTAATGAGAGAAAAAAAAACTTGAAAAAGAAGGCAATATAAAATTGTATATATAGAGTGAAATGCCAAAGCAATGCCTTAGCCGCCTTAAACAAAATCCTAATTCAGGAACAAAACGAATTTTTAAACCCTAATCCTCGTGGAAGCAGGAGAGTAAATTCAGTACCTTTAAAGATAAAATTAACATAATTGGAAAGATAAGAATCATTTACCATTAAACCGTATAATTGGATACACTTTAATTTGGTATTAAGGGCAACAACGTTAATCCAAATATATATTTGGGTGTTAATTTAATGTAATTATGAAAGCTAAACGTTAATCCAGTCTATTTTCTTTTAGAAAGTGAAGAAGAGTAACGGCTATGGAGTATAACCCAATATTTTTATTATCACCGTAGATTCAAATAGTGGTCCATTATGAATAATAATCATAACGGTATTATTTGAAATTGTTGTTACACACTACAATATTCTTAACGATCATAATAAAATCTATTATGTATATAATTATGATATATATATCAATTGTTTGCAATTTAAGTTCATGATTATCACTACAGAGTATAGATTAAAGCCTCGAATGCGTTCTTTTGCTAACACAATCTTGTCTGCAACTGTAAAATAAGCAAGCCGCTGAACCTGTATAATCCCAAACGAAAGTCAGTAATAGAACAATATCTTCATTTACATAGATGTTGGTAATTGAAGAATATGATGGTGGAAACTACCTGTGGAGATTATGAGAGCTTGAGCCGTATGATTCAGATTTGCTTTTGCCCATAACAGCATCCTTACTCTAGCCATCTGCGTATGTATATGCAAGCATGTCAAGTGTATGCAACAATGGTTGCCTTAGCAAACCATGAAATCTGCGTTTTCATATATATATATATATACTTATATTTACTTACAGTTGGAATGGCAGTTTGCAATGCCAGTAACAATGTCGGCCTTATCTCCAATAATAATTGTAGTTTAACTTAAACGATCGGTTAATTGTTATATAATAAAATCGACAATAGTGCATGAATTAATTGGAGGCGTCTGTGTAATTGAACTCTAGAAAATGAAAGGAAGAAAAAGTGAATAGTGGCCTCAACAAACGCCGAGACCGCCGCTCGCTGATGAAGGGTTCACGTCCCTCAGCCACTCCAATACAAAACTGCCAACTGCCGTCCACTTCAAAATAACCATTTACTAACAGCTGCGAACACAAGGTAGCCACGTCAGCTTCTGCCTTGTCCCGACTCGAGATTCCCTTATTTATGTATTTATTTCATCCGAAGAGCCGACATATTTATTTCTCTTTCAACTTTCGAGAGCTCAAACAAGAAAGAGGCATCTGCCTCGCATTTCAAATCCCTAACCACCAAATTTATAATCCATCAGTATATTGAAAATCGCAAAAAAGATTGAATTTTGTTGAAAGGATCTAAGCCTCCAAGTCGAAGCTCGAAGTTGCTGGTAAATACTCAATTCCAAAAATCTCTTAATTTTCGTTTTATTTCGCACTTCGAATGGTCTGATTTTTGCACCCTATCATGTTCTTCCCTGGATCGGGTTCTTAAGATTTTCTGATTCGTTTCATTTGGTTCGATTGTGAAAGACTTTTTTTTTTTGGTTGAGGCTGGGGATTTTGAGCTTATATTTTTGTTGTATTCGAAATTAATTTAATTCGTTCATTGGAACTCAGAGATCTTTTATTCCTCGTGTTTCGATTTCCCTTTTTTTTCATGTGGGATTAATTTGACGTGGAAAGTTGGTCGAATTGAAGAGCTTATAGTTATATTGTGAACTGTGAAGTTAATTCTTTCAATGTTCAGTGCTATTGTTGGCTTGAGATGATACTATGGTTTAGTTTCAGTGTTGAGAATTGATAAATTCTACATGTCAGTTTAATTTTGTTTGGCTTGAAATAATAAAGATATATTAGATGTAATGCATTTTTGGGGTTTATGTAGTGGCTTTGTTTATGTATAATTTGGTCGTGTTGCAGTCTCAGACAGTAGCATGACTAACCCGAAGAATCAAAATGATCAAAAACAGCATTTAGTTTCTCAAATTGATTTTGAGTTGCTATTTTCAGTTGAGAGCTATTTTCTGAACTTGGTTTAAGACCCGGTGAACGTCAGTTGCCGAATGAGATGTTTTAAGGACACGAAGCTAGCTTGAGATTTGGTGATAATATATGCTGCTTTCGAAAGTAAGATTGGTTTGGTTAGGGGGCGGAGTGTGGCATTTGATTGTAGTGCTTTAGGCTGTTTTGAGTTGTTTAAATCAGGAAGGGTTTTTCTTGAATCAACCGAAGAATTTGTACATGGTTAAGAACATTTTCCCACATTATATAGAAGACTAACATTGGTTTGATTTATCGTTGCAATAAAAAAGAATGATTTTGATGTTGGGAGCAAATCGAAGCAGCAATGCTGCTGTCAGCTTAATTTTGTTGCTTATCCACAGACAGACAATCGTGATTTTCTTCTTAGCTTTCCGGTTCTTAAAATGACAGTTTTGTAAGGATGATGCCATGAGAATGTTCACTACTTAGATCTAATTATGAACTAACCCCTACATTTCCTGGAATTATAATGAACTCTTAAAATCATCTCTGCTTATTGAGCTGTCCTTTTTTTTTTTGTAGAGCTGTTGAATGTCAGATACTTGGCCCATAGAGTTTGTTTTGTGTGACATCTATCTTCTATTTCCAGAGCTTTTACAATGTTGTTCAGATTAATTTTTAAATATACGATATCCTCCTCTTTTTCCCCCCTTGAACATCTATGATGTATTTGCGAAATATTGTTTTTACCCATTTCTAAGTCGTACTCCTTGACTCGATTTATTTTCTGTTGAATTTTATCCTTTGTATGGGGAAAAACTAACTAATGTCGATGTTATTTCATTTGTGCTTTCAAGTATCCAGTTTCTGCTTTCCTCAAAGATCTGGTCATTTGGAATATACATTATAGGTTCCAACATGCCAAAGGAGAGAAGAGATCGTTCCGTGTCTTTTGATGGGTATCAGAGATGGCCGTTACCATGCAGCTCCAGCTGTAGTCATCAATCTGCAAAGCTCTCTTCAGAAACTGAGGAAATTCTGAAGGAATGGGAAGAAGCCAGGTGCCCTGTCTGCATGGAGCATCCACACAATGCAATTCTCCTCATATGTTCTTCCCACGAGAAGGGTTGCCGTCCATTCATGTGCGATACAAGTTATCGCCACTCTTACTGTTTTGATCAATTTCGCAAATCATTTGTGCATGCCTCAACACCACAAAATCCTCAACAAGATGGAGTTCAACTTGTTATGACAAACTTATCACCAGCGGCAACTTCAGAATCAACTGTAACAGATTTGCCGGAAGAAAGAACCGAGCAAGGGCCCTCCGCTCCATCAATTTCACAACTTTCAAAACTAGTGTGTCCTCTATGTTGTGCTGAGATTAAAGATTGGATCGTTGTTGAGCGAGCTCGCCGTATCATGAATGCCAAACCTAGAAGCTGTGCCTCTGACACATGTAATTTTTCTGGTGCTTATAAAGACTTGAGGAAGCATGCAAGGCTTGAGCACCCTACTGTGCGGCCATCGGAGGCTGATCCCGAGCGACAACAAAATTGGAGGAGGTTGGAACGGCAGAGAGACCTCGGAGACTTGGTTGGCTCACTGCAATCTTCATTTGCAGAGGAGGGGACTGATGATAACAGCATTTTACCCATTGATGATGGAAGTTGGCTCACCGTCTTTTTCCTCGTTTTAGTGTTTCGACCAGGGTCTAGTTGGTCCGGCACATCAGGGATGAGAACTCAATCGAGTATTAGGAGATCTACAAGACAATTGGGGAGAAAGCTATGAGGGGGAAACTGGATCCACTCGAGACGAGGACGAGTCTTCTTCAGACAGTGGTTCGATTTACTGGGGGCGCCGTGTAACGAGACGGACAACTCGTGACAATCAACCATGAATATGTATCTTTAAGGAGATCTTTTTTTGTCCGAACATCAAAGTTTCAGTTTCCTGTGTTTCCCGTAATCTACATCTTGTAGTTGTCTGGTAAGTTTTTCATTCAACAGCAGTTGAATAATGTTTTTTTTTTCTCATCTAAATAATATCTATTTATAATACCATACGATAATAATATAGTATGCAAATTTTTAACTAGAAACAAAACCATCGTATACTTGGAAGGTACTTGGGATAAGAGAAGAGAAGACAATTCCAGTTTAACCAATAGACTGAACCGACCGATGTTTAAATGATTATTCGACTGAAACGATTTTATAATTAAACATTATTTAAAAAAAATAATGAAATGATTCCAAATTTTTCTAAATAAAATTCTAGTTTCGAATTCCTTCTGATTTCTTGATGATAAAACATTTTTTAATCTTAACAGTGGAAAAGTGGAGGAATGTGAAGTGAACTGAATATCTTGATTTCACATTAATCGAATGACGAATATTATAAATTAGAGTGATTTAGAGTTTTATGAGTTTTGGGTTTACGGTTGAGTTTTATGAGTTTTAAAATGATTTAGGTAAAATTTAGGCTAATATAGTGATAAAAGATTAAAGCAAGTTCGTCGATATTTTGAGTGGTTGAAGAAGACGTCAAAGGGTGATAATTGTAACATTAACAAGAAACAAAGATAAAATTATAAAACATTTTTTAAAATAATTATACAATTATAGTTTGGATAAAATTATAAAATTTTCATATTTGGAGGAAGAAGATAAAAAAAAAAGAATGACATAGACAATACATAGATTTTATATTAATGAAAACGTAGTAATCTATATCAGCACACATAATTGTCACGTCTCTCTTCCATTTATGGTTTAACACTCAACTAATCAAATAAGAGTAAACCAAAAGTTTAATGAATAATTTGAAAATTTTT